GCTACCGTAAACCTCCTCCCGGCCGCAGCACCCGCCCCCTGCCGTATTGCCTCTAATATCGCTCGCCCCGGGCCGCACGGCCGAGTTTTACCGTTCGGGCAGCGTTTTTGCCCGGGAAAGCTGTGTCACTCGGTAAGGATTTCAATTTTTAATTTTTTCAAACAGCTTGTTTGGAGGAGCTGTGGCCAGGAGAACAAGGCAAATCTTAAAGTACAAAGCACTGCGTGTGGACTGTATGCCTGTGCCTATGCCTGCTCTTAGTGTTTCATTTTAGGAGGGCGGCTATTAGGCTGTTTGCAAACACTTAAACCAGGGGGAGGGAGGTGCCCAGCCCCGGCTGTCCGCGACCACCAGCCCGATACCCACCTGCCTTTCCCGACTGCAGCTGAAGAGCTGAGAAATGGCATCCAGCCGCTTTGGGCATAACCGCCTCCACCTCAGCTGTGCCGGGGCCGTGAGAGGGGCCTGCCCTGCCTGACACCCCCGGGGGGATGAAACAGCCAGGGGAAGGGGGGGTCTGCCTGGGCAGGGGCACCCTGGCACCAGGTGGTGCAAGGTCCCTGGAACAGAAGGTAACTGGGAAGTAAAGTAAACAGATGTAAAAAGCCTCTGGAAAGCGGGAGCACGATCGGCCTTTGGTCACTAAAATGTTTGCTTTTCTGCACAGAACCCTGGAGACAAATTAAAATTGAACAATGTTGATCCAGGGAGTATTTGTGATTAGACTGTGCAAAGTCCTCGAATACTTCACAATCAACTTCTGCCGGTCAAAACAAATGCGTGTTTAGTCTTCCCCAGAGTCCCAGCCTACCGCGGTTGGGAGAAGGCCTCATTTAATGGCTTCATGAGTTAAAATACACATAGAATAAGAGAAAACCAAGCTGGCTCATCTGGTGTTTGGGAGAAGGTAAGAGGACTAACGAGGACGTGAAAACGCTGTCCTCTGAAGAGACAGAGACAGCTTCTTTTGCAGATGAGCCCAAACGGGAAAACTGAAGAGAGCAGACGAGGCAGGCAGCGAGGAGTTCACCCCTCCCCAGGGGCTCCCTGGCTGCCCGCAGAGAGACCCAGGTGCATCAGCGGTCGCGTACCTGGCTCTTGCCAGCAAACACAAGTTCGGGGTGCTTGCTGTGCCTGTTCGGCTCTTTCATCTATCGTCAAGCAGAAGGAGAAAAGACAGGGCTGGGGTGGCAAGGAGACGCTCCCTGCACGGCAGCGTCTCCGGCGGAGATCGGAGCGGTGCAGGCGCAGCAGTTCAGAGTTTGGGGCGCGCGGAACAAGCTCGCCGCGAGAAGCATCGCGGGCTCGGGCCCCCAAACAGCCGCCCCACGCGCATCGCAACCGTCACGTCCCGAGTGGGATTTCCGAGCAGCTCTTTGGGAGAGCAAGCAGAGAAGAGCAGAGCTCCAGCCTCAGCCGTTCTTCCCCAGTGCAGGGCTGCTTCCCTGGAGCAAAGCGGACAGCAGTAGCCGGTCCTACCGCCACCACCCTTTTTCACTGGTACCAAACATAGCTGGGGGGTGTCTCTACATGCTCGCTTATCCAATTAAAGCGAAGCTTGGCACTCCCTGCTGCAGAGATCCCAACCCCTCCTGCACTGATCCATTTTACTCCCTGTGCTCAGAAAATGCTCTTCTGGGTTGTAGCTAGGAAACAATCTTTGCCTCCCTGACATGTCCTTTACAAGCATTGTAAAGTCTCCTTGGAGCATTTAAAACCTGCTGTACAGAGGATAAACCCACAAAAGGGAGTCAGTCCTCCAGGAAGTTGCAGGCTGCTTGTTGGGCTTAGGAGGACCGGAGGCATCCCAGGCAAGTCCAAACATTGTCCTGCTACACACCTTGGGGGCAACTCTACTTTTCTGGTAGTTCTCCAGCTCTTCCAGGTCACTAAGAAGAGATCTTAGCTCTCAGGCCTCCAGCTGCTACAACAGCAGCATATGTTTATATCGGCTTGGGCACTTTTCCCACTAGAACAAAGCTACAGCAAGTGGTGTCATAGTCGGCTTTGGCCTTCTCCCTCCTCGTAGGGAGGGTAAGGGAAAGCAGCATCTTAAGTCAAGTGGAAACGGAAAAGGGATTCAGCTCAACAGGAGCGTGCATCTAATGCAGGCTAGGGACCAAGCCCTGACACGGGAAGCTTTTAAACTGGAAGGAGCGGCCTATGAAGTGAGGGGACATATCGCCATGGGTGCCAGCGCTCACAGTCCAGGAGGGCTGGCGCTCCTCCCAGTCGTAAGCAAACAGCAGCAGTTAATGCACTGCCGGACATCGCTGGGCTGCAGTGTCCTTAGAAAGCCTTGGAAGAGTTTGAAGACCTCCACTGCCTGGCTTCAGCATCTGCACCTGAAAGCGAGCGCACAGAAACACTTTTCAGTGTCTCACGCACACAAGTGTGCGTTACAGCCAGCACACCTGCACCACCACACTGCAGGAGTCGAGCTGCATGGCAGATGGAGAGCTTTTTCCTTTTGCTTTGCAAATGCCATCACAGCCAAAGCCCAGTGCAGCAGGCCACAAAAACACGCTAGGGAGCAATTTTCCTCCCTAACATGCAGACACCGGCCAGAGCTCCCAGCTGGGCCACCCCTCCCTTTGGGAGGGCACCACAAATACTCAGAGCAAAGGCAGCAGGATTCCCCCCTCACCCCAAGAAACTGCTGTCCAGGGTGGAACGAGTCCCCAGTGCCACCAAGCCGCATCGTGCCCCAATCCCACCAACCTCAGGAAGGCTGCAGGAGGAGCAGCCGCATCCACCTAGGGCAGGCTCCCCACTGGAGGTCACCAGGCAGAGAGGTTTGAGCAACCCAGCAAAGCAAAGCCCACCCAAACCAGCCCTGAGGTCACCATGCAGCCCCCTGCTGCTGGCTGCCTCCCTGCCCCAGCCTCACTGCGGACCCTGAGCCTCACTGCCACTGCAGGGATGACCCCTTTCAGCAACAAGCTTAACCCCTCTGCCCAGAAGGGCAAGGGTTTTACAATAACCCTGCTGGAGTAATTTTACAAGTTGTACCCATACCCCACAGAGCAGAACTGGCACCTGAACGTGTTTGCTGGAGCAATATCAAAGACATCACAGCAACAAAGGCTACCGCAGTGCAGCAACTTCTGTAGCTGGCCAACTTTTATCTGCTCTGGTCTCCCACATGCTCCTCCCGAAGTGCAGCTCTTCTGCACTCTAACTCAGCCCTTTTAATGGCAACCTGTGCTCCTTCTCCAGCTGAAACCATTTGGCTGCTGCTAGGTTGCAGGTGCCCAACTGGGGAGACCGCTCTGCATCAGCAGATCCACGGGTTAAAGTTTTGAAGCAGGCGGTAAATTCCTGAGATAAACAAGATTTATTTGAAGATTAAGGTCACAAAGGAAAACCAGATAAAACAAACTGAATGTTTTCTTGGCTCAGTCTGTCATGGGACGCAGGAAAAAAAAGTAAAAAAAGGTAATCACCGTGGAACAGAAAGAGCCAAAGTCCCGTGTTTGGGGAGGTTTGCAGTGGGCAGAATGGGAGGCGATGGGAAAACTACTGATTTTCAAGGGCCGGCGAGGGAATCTGCAGCACAGCCATGAAACGAACTTAGTCGAGGTACCTGAGTACGCTGCGCTCTGGCTCGTGAGCCCAGAGAAACCAGCAGTCGCCCATCGGTGGAAGGAAGAGCTCAGGACATCGCTGAGGCCTGGACGCGGTGTGCCTGTGTCAGAGTCATTTTCTTCCTTTGCACCATTATTTAATGAAAAGGCCTTTTCTTTAAAGGGTCAATGTTTTGGAATAAACCGTAGAGCGTGCCTGTTGGCTACCAAGTAAATCCCTCTTTATTTTAGCAGCTGGTCAAAGCAGTGCAAGTATGAAAGACATCGACCGCCCTGAGAAGGGAGGATCGACTTTGGTGGCAAAACTCTTCCAGCTTCCCAACCACGGCACTCCTCTCTAACAGCACGTTTCCCCACCCACGCCATCTTTCACGTTACCAGAGCCGATACTGAGGTTCACAAGGGCGTTGTTAGAGTGCGGTGGGATGTGAGGGGCAGAGTAAGGGCGACTGGCGGTGTCGCAGGAGCTGTGTAATGCTGGTGGTACTGAGTGGGGGGAATGCAGGCTTGAGTGTGGTCAAAAAAAAGAAACGGAAGTGCTCGGTGTCTCCTACTTGTTACCTTGGTTGCCATGGCCTGCTCACGCAGCACCTCGGAAGGGACAGGGAAGCCTTAGCACAGCTGCCTTTGCATCCAGAGACGCGGTGGATGTTTCTTTCCCTTACAGAAAGCCGCCCCCCTTGCTGTGGCCTTGGGGAAAGCTCAGATGGTGGAAGGGATACGTCGCCTCTCTCTTGATGCCAAACAGCAAACAGAACTTCTTTGTTAGCATCGAGTAGTGATGGTTATTTTTATTACAGAAGCACTCACAATGTCTGACCAAAATGAGGTACCGCCACGCTCAGGGAGTTACAGCTGGAGGCAGCCCTGCCACAGGGAGCTTAAGGTTTAACCAGAGCCAACAGATACCGGGTAGGAAAACCAGTGCGGTCTTCCTCGTGTTACTGGGACGCAGGAGGATTAAGATTAGGAGCAAGGACACCCATAAAGTTTGCGGCAGAGCTGAATATCTGTTCTCTCAGTGGAAGACTGGCACCCCAAGCCCAACACAACCCCCCCTTTTTTGTGCCTCAGCTTCTGTACAGCTCACATTTTCACTGCTCTCTGATTTCTGACCAATTGAACACATGTGGAGGTGCACGGGGACACCACTTGCTTCTGCTGTTTGCTTTCTGCTCAAGAATACGCCTGACGTCGTATGGCGAGGAATTTGGCCGGTATTGCCCGTCTCTCTATCTCTAGCCATAGGGCGAATATATCTGTCTCCTCGTGCTTGATGGCAAGCTCAAAGGTGAAATTTTGCAGCAGCGTAGTAAGGAAGAGGAAGAGCTCCATCCGGGCCAGTGCCTCTCCTGGGCACATCCGCTTTCCTGGGAGGCACAGTAAGGAAAAGAGATGGCTTAATCCAGTGCTTGAATGAATCACCACATTTGGGGGGAAAATGCGTGTGTATAGAAGGATAGAGGTGAGCAAAGAGCCCAAATTAAAGGAATAACTTTGTTGCCACCCACAGTGAGTAGCCCTTTCGTGCTGGCTTTCCCTCCGATGGATTCAGACCCACCAGTGCAGTCATTGCACAGTAGCAAGCAGGCAGTATCCCAGCAAAGCCCGTTGGCAGGGCTAAGCAGTTACCTAACGAGAAAGGCATGAAGGCTTCTGGCTTCCTGAATTCGCCCTTCTCATCCAAGAAGTTGCCTGGGTCAAAATTTTCAGGGTTCTTCCACTGGATTGGATCCGTATGCACCGAATATAATACTGGAATAACAGCTGTCTCCTGCGGCAGAGGGACGAGACAGGAAAAGCAGGAAGGAACATGAGTTTCATAGCAAAAGGCTTTGCTAAGCAGAATTACCAGCTGAGGAACGGCCTGTGGGGCAGGGGAGCGTGGATGCACACCGAGCTGCCCTTCAGGAGGCAGCTCCCGGTGATGGCTCTGCACCTCGAACCTCTCAGGCACAGAAGACTAATATGGGGTTCAGCTCTTGCCCACAGTCCTGGCAGTCTCTCTATGCAGCTGGAGTTTCATTCAGAAGCTGAGAAACTGTCCCTTGAGTTACTCCTACTGATTTATTTTTAAAACCTCTCATTGCACAAAGTCCAAAGGAAGGAAGTGGTCCTTTGGAGTGGGCGTGGCAAAAAAAATGCCTGCAATCAAACCCAAACCACGGTGCTCCCCAAATCTGCAGTGGGGATGAGGGCTGGGTTTGGCCGTGCACCCAGGGTGAGCTCGCACAACATGGCTCACCAGCAGCTCCAGCACAGATAACGCTGGTTATCTCGGTGTCGATGTTGTGCGCTGAAGGGAGGAAAGAGGTGGTATGCCAGGACAGGCAAGCAGCAGGGATGTGTGGGTAGGATTAGTTGTGGCATTCACTGCCCTCTTCTCCTCTGCTAAAGGGTTACTGCCACCTCGCCTCACTGAGGATTGGGAAAGACTGATGGCCTTCACAAGTGAGCAAACAGTCCAGGGGTCAGCGCAAATCTCGTTCAAGGTTTTTCTACCACTCCTCCCCTGAGAAGTGCCAGAAAGCCCAGCACCACAAGGCCACCTTGGGGATGATGTGGCCCCTGAACTTGATGTCCTGCGTCGTCATCCGAGGGAAGTTCTCACTGCGGGACTTCTGGATGCGCTGCAGCTCGTGGATCACAGCATTGGTGTACGGCATCTTCAGCTTGTCCTCTGTGCTGGGAGCGCGGTCTGTGCCCACCACTGCATCGATCTCCTTCTGGACCTTGTCTGGTAAAAACTCAGATTTAGGGCTGCGGTGCTTTCTACGCAAGGGCCTCCAGTGATTTCTCGCTGGCCTCTACGTACACCTATTCTAAAGTTAAAGGATGACCTAGCAGAGAGTGACAAAGCTAGTGTAACCCCTTATAGAGACTAAAAATAGGGCATCTGCCCACATAGCTCCCTGGATCATGCAGGTGTTCAAGGCTTTGCCAGAAGCATCTGTCATGGGCCCACCCAGGACCATCCGCACAGGCAGGGTAAGGGGGAGAAAGAGGTGAATGCCTGGCAGGCAGCGGGAGAAGATGTGCAGAGCTCCCTGGCCTATCTGTACTTTTGTTTAATGGATCTCACCTTTGAGCAATCCAGCCAGGCTGATTTTGATCTCACAGCAAACCTTCCCAAATGGGAGCCTCCAGGGCTGGGACTCTCATGTCTGCTCCTTTGCTGCATCATGACTTACTAAGGTAAAGGGAACAGTTGCATTTTGGTGCCCTTACCTTGAACATGGGGGAATTTAGTCAGTACCAAGAGGAAGAAGACCAGGGTGTTGCTAGTGCTCACTGTCCCAGCACCAAAGAGACTGAATACTGACTCAACCAGGTCTTCGTTGCTGTACATGTTCTCCAGGCTGCTTTTCTCCTGCAAGTATGTGATAGGAAGGAAATTCAATATAAGCTATGTGATTATCCTTAGGCTGCAGCCAGCTCTCAAGAGCAGCCCTTGTCCTGGGCCTGAGGGAGTGCTGCCTTTCCTCGGTTTGTGTCAGTCCCTCAACACAGTGCCTGTGAGGCTCACCCTAGGGTATGTCACTAGAGGCCTTAGCAAACACCTCCAGGAATTAAAACTGATATCAGAGCAAGAGTGAAAACCCTTTGCACCACCTCTACCTTCTCTGCTTTTATAAGGAAACAGTCGATGTAGTCCCGGGGAGAGCTGGGATCCAGGGTCTGCTTATGAAGCTCGATTCTTTCTTGGATGTAGTTCTTCAGTTTCACACATTCAGCAAAGATTTTATGGTGTGGCCCAGGGAGATGGTGCATGATGCTGGGGAAGGTGTTGTACACCTGCAGATAGGAGAGGTACGGGAGAGTTCAGGTGCCTGGATAGAGCACCAAAGACACAAAGACAGGGGTTGTTCTTTACTCTCTTCTCTTATGTCTGGTTTCAAGCACTAGCACCTGGTGAGACAACCCCCAGGAATATACAGTGGGCTACATCGAGACATATTTCCAGGGACAACTTGAAAAATGTACATCGTGGACGTTTTTGGAACACTGCCTCGGGGCTACCTGGAAGAAGCTGTCCAGCTGTTGGATCAGGGCCACAGAGAACATTTTCCTCCAACTGATCTGGGTCAGAATTGAAGGATATACCTCATGTGGCCATATGCTTAATTCCCATCAATGTCACTGGCAAAGAAATGGTGTCATAGGCAAAGCCGAAGATCTAGTCCAAAGCCAAGGAGTGTCTCTAGACTGCTGAATGAGTCAGAAACAGGGGCAGTGAGCACAGCAAGGGCACGTACCATGGCAATGGGGGACACAAAAAAACTGATGTAATTCCCGAGCATGTCCAATAGCTCCAGAAAGGTTGTATCACTGTAGCTGTAACAGCTCCCGAAGACAACAGAGCAAATCACATTAGCAACTGCATGTCTGAAACTTATCATTGGCTCAAAGGCCTCACCTACAGTGACAAAAGAAGCAAAAAAGGCATTGAAAAGTCCGAAGTTATTTATTCGCATCACACACGCAAAATGTCCTTCCTTTCCCTTCAAGCAACTGTCCTTTCTCTTAGCTCTGAGCCCCAGTTGAACCTGTCTGATCTAACAGATGAAGCAAAGAGCCCTTCTGAGCTATAGACACCTAAATATATCTCCCTGCTCCTACATCCCTTCTCAGTATTTGGAACTGAGGAAAGAAGAGGGATCTCGAAGTGCTTTGGGCACCCCAGTGACATCCCACAGAGATTCGGAGGGCCTGCAGAAGCACCTCTGTGCAGTGACCCAACCCCTCATCTGCACAGCCCACTGACATTTCATGATGCTCTTTGGAGACAGCAGGGTCACGACGGTGCCCAGTGTACGACCAAGCCCTCCCTCACCTCTGCCTCTGCCTTAAGCAATGTCCCCTTAAGGAGGTCTCAGTGGGCATCACTGCTCTCTTATTTTAAATTAAGGAAGCAACAGAAGAGGCAGTTGCCCTGGCAGAAGCTCATTTTTGTCTGAGGGAAGCATACCGTTCTGGGAACCCTCTGCATCCCCTGGGCAATATGTTGTTCTTGCGTCCTCAATGCTATGAAGTTTAGTTCCCTGTTTCTGTTCTTTGGCCATGAAATATTCCTTAATGGTCACCCACCACGTGCACGTTCCCTCTGATTCATGGAGGAAAGTTCCCACCCTGGCATTCACAACCAGGACATCCCCCCTGCCCTCTCTGGGTAGAGTAGACATTCTAAGTCTTCTCTCAACAAGGATCATTCACATTAGCAGTTGCCAATAGCTCTGGGGACCAGACTTGTCCCACAAGGCTGTCGTGTGTTCTCTGTCTGCCCCAGTGGCCACAGAGAGCAGGACCCACCTCACCTTTGAGGCTTGTCACCCACTCCACAAGGTGCTGGGCCTCCTGCTGCACACGCTGTGACATGGTGTTCTTCCCCATCCCAAAGTCTCGCAGGGTGCTGAGCGTGAACCTCCGCAGTTCCCGCCACTTCTTCTCGTTGCTGGAGGCAAAACCTGAGAGGAGGCAATGGAAACCACTCATCTGCCAACACGTGCAGTTCCTCCGTGAGAAAAGAGGACTCCTGCGCTAAAACAGACTGAGGAACAATAGGGCGCTAAGCCAGCGGGTGACCCTGGTGTGCGCACAGCATCCTTGAAAGGAAGAGAGTCTCAGAAGAAACTAAGAACAAAGCTGGAAGTCTACATTAGTAGGAGTTATCTAATAGGAATTAATATTGTCCCCAGATAAGAAACGTAATAGAGTGTGGTATTAGCAGAGTAGGAAAAGCGTATTTGAAGTCTTGGATGTTGAGTCCCTCGCTAGACATATAATCATTCACTGGCCAGCTGTGATTGAGGACTTTGTGCTCATCCAAAGAATAATGAAGAAGAAACTCAAGAACCTACCGTAATCTTTTGATATCTGGACCTGAAGGGGTATTTCAGGTCTCCCTCCAAACTCCTCAGAATGACTGAGGAGAGCATCCTTCACCACCTCGTATCCACAGAGCACCACGGCTGGCTTCAGTCCCAGCCAGATGGTGAACACGGGGCCGTACTTCTCCCTGAGCTGGGGGAAGAACAGTGGAAAAGGTGCTATGAATTAGGTGCTGAGATGTTACCCCATGCTCCTTGAATGCCTCCAGGTCACAAAGCTGAGATGAAAGCATGAGAGTCTTACTTCCAAGAGGCAGAACAGGCTTTGAGCACTGGGAGAAACAGAGAGCTGAGCGAGACAGGCTTTCAGTGTTCAGCTGCAATATGTCCTCATGGCCGTTATGCAAAGCTGATTTCACCATGAAGAGCACCATGCTCTAGGCTTGGTTGGTGCATGGAGATCCGATCACACCCCACTTTGGGACAGCAGCTGCCAGTTTTCTCTGCAGCAGTTCAGAGCAGGAAAGGTATCCCACAGTACTGTGCCTGAGAACCCTCATCCCAAACCCACCTCCAGCCAAAGCAAGCTACGATGCCTGGGGAGATACAGCCTCCAGCAGGGTTCTTTTGAAGTTCTCGGGAAACCCCCATGTCAGAACAGCCGAAACCGGGGACTTTGACAGCATCACCTCCATAATTAATTTAATTTTTAATTTTTGTCTAGTGCTCGCAGTGCTGGCAAACATGCGGGCAGCACGGAGATGTGCCGGCCACGGGGGAGCGCATCTCTTGAGGCTGCCGACCAATTCTCACCTAGCTCCATCGCCCCAGTCGTGCCCCGGTGGGGGGGGTTATGTTCTTGCTACTGCTTTGTGGATTTTAAAGCTCATCTAATCTTATCAAGAAGTGACTCTGGAAGGCAGCAGGTGGTCACAATACTCTGCTCAACCAGAAGGAGATGAGTATCACTTCCATGGGTCCTATGAGAAAGACTTAAATAACAGTATTGATTATGCTACAAGTAGCAAGGATTTAGGATATTTTGACAGAGCAAGAAAGGATGGAGGGAAAGAGAGAGAAAAAAGAAAGGAGGAGAAAGTGTGACCTGTATGGTTCCCCTTTTATTTCGCCATGGGATATTGTGCTCTCTTTCCTACTGCCCTGCCAGGGGTAGGGAGCTGGTAAGCTGCTGTGAGCTGATCTCTTACCTTCTTGTGGGTCTTGTAAAGGGGAAGGACATCTTTTTGCCATAAGTTGCCCAGGATGGGCCATGGAGTTGGCCCTGGAGGCAGCTGGCTTCTCTTCTTATCATTTTTCCAGACCAGAAAACACAAGACGTAGAGGAGGAAAAGAGTAACGACGAGCCCGGCTGTCCCAGCATCCATCCTCAGCTGTCACTGCGGAGCAGGGGCCAGAGGGACTGAGCAGTGAGCAGAAGGGAGCTGAGCTCTGCTCGATCTCTGCCTTTCCCTTGCGGTCTATATAGCACAGCCCTTCCCTCTAATCCCAGCTGCAGAGGTTAAGTCTCCTGTGCTCACCCTTCAGCCAGTCACCGGGCGGTCAGTGACACAGAAACGCTGGTTTCTCCTGGCTAAACACAAACCTCAGGCCTGCTATGTTGTAACATGGACCTGGAAGAGCTCCAACACTGGACTTTTGCATTGCAAAACTCTGCACGGATTCAGCCAAGGAGATGAAAGCTTCCCCCTCCGCCCCCTGCACTTTGCTTAATCTCTTGTTGCTCGGTCCTCCCTTTCGGTGACCTGCAGTACGAGAAGTTGCCACCGTCCTGACAAAACCCTTATGTCATCGCTGGGTTACTGCCCTTCTTGTCACTGACTTTCTTGCTAGAGCAGTGACCGAGGAGGGAGATGTTTTCCTAACAGGAAAGGCTTCCCTCCGGCTTGGCAGAGGGGAGCCCTGGTGACGGGGCATGCTCGGTTGTTCATGTACCTGTTAGTTTTAGGTTAGTTGAGAATATCCCGTTAAATAGTTTTGGATGGAAAGCGGGCTAGTTCTAGGGAAAAGCATAATTTTACTGAAAGATTTGTCGCTTCCACTCGGAAAAATTGAACAAAACATTTTGTCGCATGGAGGAACGTCAACCAAAGCCATTGGGCTTATTGGAGGTTTGGGGCTAGCTGGTCCTTTGGCTCCCCGGCCTCCTGGGACTGCTGCCCCAACCACATGTACTGGCAGTGACAATGAAACTTTGTATTTGTCTTTCTGAACGGCGTATTGAGACTTTGCTGTAAATCTTTCTTCATAATCTGTCACATAGCTTAAACCAAAAGACCCACAGCAGACAGAGCTGGACCCGCTCGCACAGCCCGGCAGAGCAAGGCAGCTCACAGCAAAGGATGCAATTTCTCCTGGAGGACAGGGCTGGAATGAAAGAGAGAGGGGGTTTTATTCCAGGCTAGTGCCTGCAATGGAAGGAGCCTTTCAGCAGAGGGCATTACATGATATTTTATGAGGAGCCTGAATTATAATGCTCACCCCCAGTGAGGCAGCAGCCTGAGTTGATTCCTTAGACCAAAAGCACCAAATCTCCGCGTCACCAAAAAGCTGCCAGCAAGCGAAGCTGAATCTCCCACAGGCATGTGACTGCTCTGTTTCAATATTTCAATTTTTCCCCTCGGGACCTGGGTTGCCCCACACTGCTGGGTTTTGGAGGAGGCTCTTCCCTCTGCCAGCACCAGGAGCCCACCCAGGGAAAGGGTTTCTTTTGGAGGAAATTGGTCCTGGCAGAGTGGCCAGGAGTCCCATAGCTGAGGCCAGGAGGTGGCCATTAATCACTCACTTTCCTCGTCCTGTCCCAGCTCTTCCCACGGCTTGTTTGAAATTCTTGACTTTGGCGCCTGCAAGTGAGGGAGCTTTGCTCAGTACTGACCCGAGTTTTGGCATGAGAATGAACAACCCCAAGGTGACTGACACCGTCTTGTCAGTGGCAGCTGAACACAACTAAGGACTCAGTAAAAGAACAGGGGGAAAAAAAAACAACCATGGAAATTGCTTTGAGTCGCAAAGTTTAAGTGCAAGGGGAAATTCCCTCTTCTGGAGGCAGAGCTCAGGCTACGAACCAAATGACAGACCCTGCGGACGAATGCTTGCACACCAATAACATTTCAGTGCAACCCATCCATTGCTACAAAGGTGTTTTGAAAGCTGCATGTCTCTAATACAGCAATACAGTGTTATTGTTTCGCATTATTAACAAAATGGAGCAAACAAAGAAGTCAGCCTGGACGTTAGGAGTTCATGACTCCAGGTCACTAGACAAGCAGTTTAAGAAGAAAACCGCATGTACTGGCAGTGACGATGAAACTTTGTATTTGTCTTTCTGAACTGCTTATTGAGACTTTGCTGTAAGTTTTTCTTCATAATCTATCAAATAGCTTAAACCAAAAGACCCACAAAATAATTTCAATATTGTATCGATTGTGAAGTGTGCAAAAAAAAAAAAAAAGGAAAGGAAAGGAAGAAATTGTCAACTAAATTGACAGCTAAATGCCATTTTGCCTGAGGAAAGGTCGCTAGTGAACAGCACAAATGGGCTTTGGTGCAGCTGCCTAAGCACTTCGCGGGACTGGGGTGCTAAAGTAAGCCAAAAATACCTCATATGTACCCAAAACTGTTGGTACTTTTTCCTTCTTTCTACTAATTTTCTTATGAGGGCTTTTGGAGAGCAGCCATTTGGGGAGAAGCAGACTGCTGCAAGGCCACTTCTCCATCCTCAGCCTCGGTATCGCTTCAGGAACAGCCTGTGAGACCTTTTGGCCCAAAACCTAGGAAACGGTCAGGTATAAACACAGAGGGACAGACCTGTGTGACGTCCTTTGTCGCTCTGTGTGAAAAGCGTCCCATCACTTTGCTTTATTCAGCAAAATTCAAGCAGAATTCAGTAATTCTGACCAATAGGGGAGAATATTTTGACTTTTCCTTCCCCACTAAAAAATCCATTTCACGTTTGCCAGAGGCTGTGGATGTTAATTCAGAAGTAACATCTAGAAGAAACCAATAACCAGAGCAGCTCGGCGCTGCCCTGTTTTGGTTGGCAGGCTCCAGGGCACGGCGGGAAGGGCATGGCTCCTGCTGCCATGCGCCAGCTCCGTGTGAGGACAAGGAAAAGCATTCCGAAATTAAAGGTTCCTGTTAATAGATCAGATCCAGAATATATCTGAGGGGCAGATTCAAGGACTTAGAAGAAATGATGCTTACGGGGTGCTTTTTCAGAGTAGATGTGTATTTGGAAAAGCTGCCAGGCAAACAGTGAAACACAGAAGGGAAGGAAAATGAGAAAACGACTCTAGTCAAATAAAGAAGTCAATAAAATATCGAGGTTATGAGATCTAGGAAGATCTGCCGTAGAAAATCATAACATTTGCCCCGTCTCCCAGCTAGAGCTTTTATGCAGTTGGTCTCAAAAAACCTCGGAAGGAGTGGGACACATCCCGCGGATGCAAAGCTGCTGCACAGCCCAGCTGCAAATAGGGCCTAGCTGGAGACTCAGTCCCAGAAATACTGAGCTGCTGAGGCTGGAAGCACCTCTGGAGATCGTCTGCTCCAACCCCTGCTCAAGCAGGATCATCTGGAGCAGGCTGCCCAGGACCATGTCCAGTCACGGTTTGAATATCTCCAAGGATGGAGATGCCACAGCCTCTCTGGGCAACCTGTTCCTCAGCCTTCCTCACAGTGAAGAAGTGTTTTCTAATGTTTCAGTGGAATGTCTTGGTTTTTCAGTTTGTGCCATTGTCCCTTGTCCATTCACTAGGCCCCGCTGAGAAGAGTCCAGCTCTGACTTCTTTATCTGTCCCCATCAGGTGCTTATACACTTTAATAAGATCCCCCAGAGCCTTCTCTCCTCTGCGCTGAACAGTCCCAGCTCTTTCAGCCTCTTCTCATACAAGAGATGCTCCAATCTCTTAATCATCTCTGTGGCTCTTTGCTGGACCTGTTCCAGTAGCTCCGTGTCCTTCCTTCTTGTACTGGGGAGCCCAGCACTGGGCCGAGCACTCCAGGAGTGGCATCACCAGGGCTGAGTAGAGAGAAAGGATCACCTCCCTCGACCTGCTGGCAATGCTCTTCCTAATGCAGCCCGGGATATTGTTGGCTTTCTTTGCCAATAGGGCACACTGCTGGCTCACGGTCAACTTGGTGTCCACCAGGACACGTAGGGTCCCCACGAAGAGCTGCTTTGCAGCCCATCTCCCCAGCAGATATTCCATGTATTTCCAAGTTATTCCTCCCCATGGCAGGGCTTTGCATTTCCCTTTGCTGAGCTTCATGAGGTTCCTCTCAGCCCATTTCTCCACCCTATCGAGGTCTCTCTGAACGGCAGCACCACTGGTCTACTCCTTCCAGTTTTGTGTCATCTTCAGACTTGCTGAGGTGCACCCTGTCAGCCAGGTCATTAATGAAGACGTTAAACACCATTGCCTAGTGCTAGATCTCATCTTTGGGTATGAGGAGAGCTAAATGAACACCTGCAGATTCCCCTAATCTTGTGCTTTAACCTTGCTAGCTTAGCATAAGCTGGTACATTGCACTAAGGCAATTAATATTATCCTAATGCAATTTTCTCTTGTCAGCAGCCCAAAGCCTCAGCAGTCTGGAGGTGCTCCGCTCACTCCAGGGCCTTGGCTGCACAGAACGAAATGTGCATAAAAATAGCTGAAAACCATTTTTGTCTCTCCCCCTCTCCCCTCTGCAAGCCGAGGAGCGAAACAGCAAGGCACTGCATGCACTGGGTCTGCTCGCTGAATAGCCTGGTCCAGTTAATAACTAAACTGAGAGTATTTTTGGTTGCTCTTAATAATGCAGCAGTACTTGCTGCATTAGAGTTCAGTCATAATTACACAGTGAGCGTCATCTGTAATCCCCATCATCTCCTCCCACTGGAGTGTAGCTCTGAGGCAGGATGATGTTAGATCCCCTTTTCCATTCCTGGGACGGTGTTTGCCCTTGGATCCCTCTGGTGTACCCAGAGTTACGGCCTGGCTGACCGATGGACCTGCTGGCCAAATACTGCCTTGCCTGTATGAAGAGCGTTTGCACTCGGGGAGAGGGTTAGATGCAGCACCAGGGCTGGAGCATTTGAGATCTACCAGGGAGATAACCCCCAGCAACATGCTGCAACCTCCGCTCTCGAGGACGGCAGTCTGGCTGGACTAATGGGCTTCCCTGACCTCCGCGTCTCTGAACATGCCAGTGCCCCATCTTCCTTTCCTCTCTGCTCCTTGCAGACACGCTCCTCGCAGCGCTGCTCTCACACTGTTTACTACTCGGCTCCATGTCTCTCTGGAGACAGACTTGCAGTGCTAAACTGGCTGAGATCTTTTCTCTCCCAAAGGATGAAAACATGATTCCTCGCTGGCTGCTAGGTCCTCAGATGAGTCATCTGCCTTGGTGGCTGGTTATTATAGCTAGCATTAGCATTTTGTGATCTTAACTCATGGTACTATTCTGCTGGGGAAGCAGTGAGTGCGTGCTCAGG